TTTTCTTATTGATATACTTTATTATATTATTATTCTTGAAAGTATTGAGTATTTCAGTTGCTTTATTAAAAGAGAAGTTGTTTTGAATAATTCATTAAAATATTCAATAACATTCATTATTTTCTTCGGTTTCATTGAAAATCTTTTATAATAATATTGATTTCTTAGCATTAAACTTCTTTGTTATTCCAACTTTTCTGTTTATTCCTTTCTTCTTTGTTTTCTTCATATCCTTTGTTTCTTCTGCTTTTATAACTTCTTTAGGAAGTGAAGTAACTTTAACTCTTTTACCGCTATTATTTACTGAATGTTCTTCAATGAATTTCTTCTTTTCTTGATTGAACTTTCTTCGTTCCATTTCAGCTTTGAATTTGTGTAATTTAACCATATCATCAATTGAAAATTCTGCCATAACTCGTCGTTGTTCTTTAAATTGAAGACTTTCGTTGACTTGTTCTACAAATTGATATGCATCTTCTGCTGATGTAAATGTCAAAAAACAATATCCAATTGCTTTCCCTCTCTCTCCTTTAATGATTTTAATATCTGATATCTTCCCTTTACTACAATATTTCCCAAATGTTTCCTTTATCATCTTTTTATTCGTGTTTTTAGGAATATTTCTTACACATACTCGATATTTATTAACACAGAAATTAACATTTTTTAATTTTTTATTTCGTTCCATTTGTGCTTTTAATCGCATTTTGGCTTCACTTGGAGTTAATCCAAGTTGAAGATATTCTTCTTTTGTTTTTTGTCCAACCATAGCTAATGAAACATTTCTATTGTCTTTAATACCTTCTTTTTTCTTCTTTTTACTATTACTTGTATCTTTTGCTTGTTCTTTCTTTATTGCTTTCTGAAGAATTAATCTTCTTCCATCAATCTCAATGTCACTTTCCTTACTCCCTGAAAACATATATGCTTCTTCAATAACTTTCTCTGCTACTCCTCTTCTTCTGAAACAAACAAACCCTGTTCCTCTACTAATCCCTTTTTCTTTATCCATACAAATCTTACAATATGAAACTTCCCCATATTCTCCCATCTTTTCTTTTAATTCTTCTTCACTTGTTTCAAATGATAAATTTTGGATGAATATTGTTCTATAGATTTGGTCTTCTTTATGTAACTCTTCTTTTTCCTCCCGACTTAATCCTTTTCGGTTAAATTTCTTTTCTTGCTTCTCTTCTTTTTCTTTTGTTTCTTTACTCTCCACATTTCTTAGTTTCTTTTCTTCTTTCTTTATTTTCCCTTCAACTTTTTGTTTGATTTTCTTCCTCTCTCTTTTTTCTTCATCCCTTCTTTCCTTGTGCTCTTCATCCGACATTGTATCTTCTCTTTCTTTGTTCTGTTTGAAGGGTTTATTTCTTTATTATTACTTCTAGTATTTTTACTATCCTCTTCTTCTATTTTCTCTTCATCTTTCTTCCCTCCTTCACTCACCTCATTTCCTTTGTGATTGATGTGTCAATGACTCGTCTAAAACCTCACTTCGTCTACATCATTGAAAAGACAAACAACTACACTTTGTGAACAAACCAACAATTTCAAATAAAAACAAAAAGAAAAGAACTAAGAAAATTTCATAGTGGAATGACTGAGGTACAACCAATTCCAGTGACTGTTTCTCAATACTCGTATTACTCAGATAAAAATTATCCGAAGCGAAGAACAATGGAAGTTTGTTTTCAAGAGTTAAATGACATAAAAAGGAGTTAATTGAAGTAGGATGCTCATGTTATTTGTGACCCATTAATTGAAGTAGAAGGTCGTGTCTATTCATTATATGCAATCTTTGATGGTCACCGAGGACGTACAGCAGCACAACATTGTGCTAAAATAGTCAAAGATAAAATTAAAGAAGTTTTACAAAGAAAAGATGAAGGGTTTGAAGAAATGATGCAAGATGCAATGTATGAAATGGATATGAGTTTAAAAGAAAATGGAATTGAATATTCAGGATGTTGTGCATTAATGTGTATTATTGAAATAAAAGAAAAGAAGAGAATAATTCATATGGCAAATTGTGGAGATTCATGTGGAATTATTATAGGAACAAATGAAGTAATTCCAATGAGTGAAGAGCATAAAGCAACAAATGAAAATGAAGCACAAAGAATTAAAGAAAGTGGAGGAATGATAATAAATGGAAGGGTCAGTGGAGATGTAGCAGTTACAAGAGGGTTAGGAGACCATCATTTAAAACAATGGGTTGTGTCAGAGCCATTTGTTAAAGAAGTAGAATGGCAAGAGGATTACAAATACATTGTTCTTGGGTGTGATGGATTATGGGATACACTCAATGGTAAGCAAATTAAAGAAGTATTAGAATCAAATAATTGTGAATTTACATCATCAGCAAAATCATTAACACAACTAGCAATTGGAAAAGGATCAACAGATAACATCACTACAATTGTTCTGAAATTATAATT